ATTCAATATGATACAGATCGAGTTAGACAGAACTATAAAAGTGGCAAAACTATATCAGTATTTATTTTTTAAAATTTTTAATTAAAATACTTGATGGCAAAAACTCTACCTCTTTTTATATATCCTATCTGACTCAATTTATATTAATTTGAACTCTTATTAAACTCTACAATTAAAACAAATAGATCCAAGAAATTAGAGGTGCACTCAAATTTCTTTTTTCAAAAAATAGTTCTTTTTTTAAAAAAAAAAAGCAATTTTATAGCATTAATTAGATTTTTTTTAAATTTTTAATAGCTTGATGATGTGGCATATTGTGAGCTTATAATTAAATACTGATGGTAGATATTGGGACACTGAGAGACGCTGAGGACGCTCCGCTGAGACTATCCGGACCCATTATTACTCGTGTCGGCTTGTGTCTTTGGGGCCACCTTCTTGAGTGGGTTTGATAGATAAGTACAGTTTGACATCAGAATGAGACGGTATGACATGAGGGTGGTAAAGAGACCTAACAAGACAGCACCTGAGAAAGGCCCTAATATAATATTTTTTTCAATTCTAAATATAAACTTTTTATATTATAAAACAAGTTTTATATTACTTTCAGTTTTAATTATAAGAGTTAGTTGACTAATTTGAGAAGATTAAAAAAGTAAATTGAGTTAGTTATTGTCCTAAATAGATGTTGTTTTTCCTAAAATATCATTACTAATCAAGTATATTGACCAGAATTATTATTGTTAGAAGGGTTACTCTAGAAAAAAAAATATAAATATGAGAGACAAAATAGATTGGGATCTTATATTTAAGATCAAAATAAAAATCAAACAGGATCTTATATTAAAGATCGGAGATAGTATTTAAGATCGAAAGTCTAATATCACTGTCAACTTAACGACGCCTATACTTCTTTCAAAACGGCATCGTCCTGTCAAAATCCGGCAATTAATCAAAATCAATCATTAATTATTACGACCAATTGTTAATAACTAAAAAAAAATAGCACAAAAAAAAAGGGTCCAGAACGTATCCCCAAATTCGCTCGGACTCCATCATGTACGTAATAGACACGTATATAGAAAATATGATAGAAGGAAGTAGTATTCTTTAATTTCATATCTATAATTTATCTAATCCCATATAATAAACAATTATTGATGTTAAATATTATTTTAATAATTTTTTTTCGATTCCAGCCCTAATTTTTTATCTCTCACACTAAGGTTTGGAACGTATCCGCAAATTCGCTCGGACTCCATCGCGTACAAAATAGACACGTGTATAATTAAAGCGTGCAAGGGTGCTTCCAAAGGACAGGGACATGCTTCAACTCTCTTACGTCATCCTCCACCGAATTTCGTATCAACGTTGATTATTATTAACGCATAAATATTCCTTCAAATCCTCCACCTCAGCGTCACATCCCATCCCAACAACTCTTGCGGACATTCCAGAGCTTGGGAACTCAACAATTAAACGCAGTATTGGGACAATATTCGTGGAAAACTCCCTTCTTTTTTCTCCTCCCTCTTCGTTTCAATATTCGAGGTTGACATGGTAATTATCTTATGATAAAAGCGAGATTGATTAACGCCCTTTTTCCATGAATAAAGGATGCCAATTTTAGTGGGATTACCCATGAAATTTTGATCCTTCATGGCCTCTGTTTAGCCATCGACTGTTTAGTTTTAATAATAGCCGCTCTGATTATCAATTATATATATAGATAGTTATATTGATGCTCCTACGTGTTATTCCTCTGGTCCTAAATATAAGACTCATTTTATAGTGTAATTTTAGAACGGAGGAGTAATATTTTAATTTGCAGCCAGAAATCATTTGTTTTATTATATTAAACAGGATTTACCTTTTTTTCCTCAACTATAACAAACTTGTAAATATTTTTAATGCTTTGTTTCAATCGTATTGTGTCTTGTAATCGCAAATATTTTATCTCCTCATCTTTCATGTTCAGCTAAACTGCGCCATACACCCACTGTGAACATCTTTTTACTTAAACCCAAGATAATATTTAACTATAATGAATAAATAATGTTTTCACTTTCAAAAACTTAGCAAAATAATACTTTAGCTGGAAAAAAAGGCAACGAATTTACCGCGAACATACAACCAGAAATGATATATACCATACGTGCATGAAGTCAACATAAAGGTTATTAGATTTTAGAAGCCGTCTGGTTTTAGTGTGAAATGCACATATCATTAAAGTTGCATTCTTATGGTGTCCCAATCCCTCCTCTTTCTTTCACAAAAAAAAAAACAAAATAAAGCACAGAGCAAAAGTGATCCTCTTAAAGTTACTCCTTCAATCTAATCATTTTTCACGTTTCTCTCACAAAGTTCAGAGCCTAATCAATCAATTTGCATGTTTTTTTTTTCACCTGAAATTGAGAAATTATTTCGATAGCAGCATAGTTACGGCATTAGTTTATTTTTGCCCGAGTGGTAATAATTAACTGGAATTTATCTTCTGGATGGATTGTCAAAATTTGTCAATGGCAATTACCATAGTGCACGAACGGATACCAAAGGCAGGGACAACTAGGTCTAGGAATAACGAAGCATATTTTCGTTGGAAAAAAATAGAAGAAAAATCTCACATTAAAATTTTATTAATGAGAAACACTCGATAAATTGTTATAAACAGAAAGTACTGATGTTTTGCAAATTTTGTATGCACAGAGTGTCGGAATTCTAATTTAGGTCATCCTTATTGATGAAATTTTTCATGGGAGCCTTTTCCATGATTTTTTTTTCTAAAATATTTAATAGTTCTATTAGGATATGGACTTTTGACATGATGAGGCTCCAATGTGATGGGGCTAATACGTGCACGCCAGGAAGATGGACACCTATTGCTTTACCTGTAGTCGTCTTTTGTTGGCTTTATTTCCCATTTCATAAAGAGAAAAAGTCGCTAAAGCAAGAGTTGAAAAGGGAAACAAGTGAAGTATCCAGAAGTCTCGAGGAATGAAAGGGAAAGCGGAAGTCACCAGTTACCACCAAAATCTCAAAAGGATCCTCATTACAGGGGAATTGCGTTTCCTTGTTTTCAGTGGTACCGTGGTCCCCACTTCGTAACTTTTTGTTTTTTCCTGGACCCCAAAATCAATTAGCGCGTGAATTAATTAAATTTATGTACTCCTTCTGTCATTAATAGAACTAATCATTGAGTTAATTTTGATCTTAAATATAAACTTATTTTTTATATTTATCATTTTTTTAAATTATCTTTATAGATACTCCTTCAACCATAATCAAGTAGAAAAGGGAGGGAGTGTATTAATAAAGATGATTACGTTGTTTTAGAAAAAACATGTTACATTTCTTATAATTAACTAACTTACCTAATTTTCTTAATCTAATCAATTTAGTTAAATAGATCTTATATTAAAGACCAGAAGAGTATCACAAATTAGACTATTCATAAACTCGGAGTAAAATGACTCATTCTGTGGACTTTATGCAACACGGTGAGAACCACACTTTCTTATCGCAAAACACACACACACACAGGCTCCAATGGCTTCAGTCTATCAAGAACGATAGCACAACAGTGGGGATACAATTTTATTTTAATTTTTTAGTATTTATTTATTTTTAGTTACGTACATTACCCGCACATGTTACTCTTATTTGGAAAATGTTATATTTTATTTAAACTTAAAATCTAATTAAGATTAATATACTCTTTAATCGCTCAAGTTAAATTTATCTTTATTGTGGTTTTAGTTCTTCAAGTTTCAAATCATAAATTTTAACCTATCAAAGACAAAATGGTGCAAGTCCTTATTGAATTATAAGGACTAATATTTTAAATAAAAAGAAATTTGAGAAATCAAAATAAATCACCGGTAAATGCTGGGACTAAAAATTATAATGTCCCCGCCATCTTGATGATTATTAAGGATGGAAAAATTTTTCAGACATCTTCGGTTGGTTGGCAGCGCTGTGTGTGTTTAGTGTGGGACGCGTTGTAGACGGACAGAGAGTTTTCGGGCGGAATGGCAACACTAAGACCCTTCATGCACAAGGGTCCAGACGACCCAACACGAGTACAGGATCCATCTGGGGCCCATGGCCCATGAGCATACAAGGATCTGAAGGAAGAGTCAGAGAGCGCGACGTAAGACCTGGAAGCTGAGGGAATTGGAGGATTCTACTCCTCCGGTCCTAATTATAAGACCCAATGACTTATTTGAAGAAATTAAGGAAGTAAGTTAAGGTTATTTAAATAAATAAATATTGTCATTCCAAAATATCCTTGCTAATTAAGTATATTGGCTAAACTATCATTATTAGAAGGATTATCTTGGAAAAAAATACATAAATAGAAGAGCAAAATGGAGGGTCTTATAATTAGGACCAAAAAAAGTCAAATTGGGTCTTATAATAAGGAGGAGGAGTATATAATAAGACAAATACGGTTATGAGTGGGGGGTGTGATTAGCATTTTGGAATCTCTTCGTCTCTGTGGTTCTCTCTCCCTGGCTCTTTCTCCATTCTGCATTTCCGTTCTGCGTTTGTTATCATTCTCTTATATTTCTTGCATTGTTTCTTTCTGATGAATGACGATATGATGATTATGGCTGAGATGTATGTTGAGCTCAAACATTAATAGAAGTTTTATCTTCTGCTATTCGAATACTTCTTTGTGATCATAACAGACCCACGCACAACTCACTGGAAAGTAAAAGATGGTGAATTCAAGGCATCAAAATCTAAGAATCAAAGACTAATGTCACAAAAATTATCAAAACTATCAGTGGATACATCCCAATGCAGATCATTGAAATGACCTTCAAGTCCTGTAGCTTTTCTCTTCAGACTGTATGCATGATCGGTTGATAATTAAATATGGCGATGAGAGAGAAAATAGTAGCTTAGCGGGAATGATAATTTGTATGATTTATTTCCACATCGAAGGAGTAAAAGCAGAAATAAATACGAAAATTTGAAGTCTGGCTAGAGAGGAGTATTAAGAAAACTATATAATCACAAGATTAGCGTTACGCCGAAATGATGCATTGATAGAATTTAATTTCAGCAAAGACAATTGATTTCTTTCCATAAAACGTGCCTTCTCCAATTTTGATTTCTATTCAAATTAACGTCTCAGACCCTCGCCGCAAAAAAAAGGGCGAACATTCAGAAATTGTAAAATTAAAAGAGTAGATAAAAGGGGTTTTTTTTTTTTTTTACTTTTTTTGGAGGAGGGTTCGTTGGATGAGAAATAATCCAAGTAGCTACTTGCCATTAGAGTTGGCATGCTTGTGGAAAGGCCAGAAATTTACCAGGCGCTCAAGCACGCTCTTAGGAAAATAGGTCGGGAACTCAGCAGGTGTTTCTGGGGGAGGAAAGTCTTCTGCAGGCATAGCAAAAGGACGAAACATCTTCTCCACTTTTTCTAACGACGGAAATGATCCTACTTCTTGCAGCCTTTCAGGACCCATAATGGGTAAGGTGTGCTCTTGATGCAATGAAGTTGCTTCACTATCATTCTTCTGTCAAACATAAAATACACACTTAGTTCTTTACCCAAAAAACGAGTTAACTGAAACACTAGCTTGCCATGGAGGCGCAAGATATTTGCTGATATTCCACATATCAGGAAACGTTAATGGATAAATTAATCTCTCTCGTTAAAGCTTATAGAAGTGATTCTAGTCTCATAAAAGCTTTTGGTCAAATAGTTTCATAAAAGCTTCGGACAAATGGCACCGTAAGCATCCTGAAAACTTCACCATTTTTTTCATTGCATACCGCGCAAAGGTAACAGCGAACGAAAGGAATTCAAACCATTCCTTCATAACTCATATTTTTGGCAAACTATATTGACTGGCGATCATTACCTCCAAGGGGGATAAATCCGCACCGCGACTGAAGGTCAGCTCCATGCGAAACCTTTTTGGGTCGTCTAAAGCCACCTGCAGTTTCACAGGCAAAAAGTTGAATATAAGAACAATGATAAACATGGCAACCAACGCCCAGCACATCAAATAAAAGCCCTGACAGTTGTGGCCGTCAAAGGAATAGGGAAATAATGAGTCAAATTATCAAGTAATAGAATGTAGAGCATTAAGGAACCATATCTATATTCTAACAGAAAAAAAAAAATTTGGGAAAAAAAAAACTGACGGGGAAATGCCTAAAATGACCCACCTCTGTGTTCTCGAACAGCCTCAGCACAATGTAGCTCATATAGTCAAGCTCCCTCGTTTTACAAAGGCGCTCTAGCGCATTAAGGCAAACCAGACTATCTTCACCTTGAAGAGATTCATCCAAATTACAGTAACGAATTACATTCATGAGAGAATGTATATGTGATTCCTGCCAATAAAAATAATTGCGGGAAAAAGTCCAAGAATCAGAATAGAACAATTTTGTTCCGAAAAAAAGAGAAAAATTACACACTGTCAGGTGGTACGCATGAATTTACAGAGATGTTAATGGGTAAAATTTGTTCTGATGTATCTTCGGTCCCCCCCCCTCTGTTTTAATACGATGTTATATAAGAAATCAGTACAACATATGGTATCATTTGAATTTATAATATCAAAACAAAATATTGAATTTATAAGCGAGATTAAAGTTGACGACCAAGTATTTCACCCAAAAAAAAAAAACAATTAATAATGGCACGGAACAATTAATAAAGTCAAGGTCATGACGGATCTCTTACACCAAATGGGAAATACAGCGTAAAGAATCTCAGTTTTTAACAATCCAGTCCATGCCATCATGATGCCAAAATAATGCGATAAAGCACTCACTGATGTGAAGTACAGTCTTGTTCGCACATGGCGCTCAGGTGTCTTCACATTGGCATACCTGATGGGAAATAAGATAATTAAAACACAACATAATAATAATGCATAAAATCAAATTGTGTTCTGATACTCACTTTGGATCTAAACGATATTTTGTCTCTTTATCATCATCATCATCTTGATCCAATGAAATATCACTGAAAGTGGCGGATCTTCTTGGCTCATCATTCTTATTTAAAAGCTTTGAATTGGACTCCGTGTCATCCTGTTCAGTTTTTAAGGCCGACGAGACATGGTCTTGGTTACTCTTTAACTCGGCAACGCTAATTGCTTCCTCACGAGTGTTCCTCAAGTCGATTAAAATTTTCCCCAACAAACGGCGTGCAATCTGAATTGAAACAGCACAAATCAGTGTAATTAGGGTGCTACAATTACAAAAAAAACACGTAGAAAAAGTGCTACTAATTGAGTGCTGATAAACTGAAGCAATATCCAGTTATGCAACTCAAGACAAAATGTTACATACGGACCTCCCATTTCATAAGTAATTGTGTGTTACTTCTTTGAGGAATTAAAACATAGTATTTGCCCAAATCAGAAGCAATCACGAGGGTTAACATCACAATTATTATAGTTGAAAGCCAACTTTGTGCGAGGACACGATAAGGAAATGGAGAAAAGATTTATAATATAAAAAGGCAATTTGTGATGTCTTACAGCAGGGTTATACCTTGGAGCCAATTTTTAACTTCTGCTTTGGATTAATTCCATATTCATTTGGAATAACACCATCAGCAAGTGCCTGCAAACAAAATAACACCATCAGTGAGACAAAAAGTGAGCATTATTTTATAGCTGTTCATTTTCTACGGGGGACCACTTTCAGAAACAGCTTGATCAGTTTTTCCGTTTTCATGGAAAGAAAAATATACATACTACGTGTGTGTGTGTGTAAATATTTACCTGAAAACATAGTTCAGAATTTGCAGGAGACAGACTTGCAAAGAAGTCTATAGTTTTGTTTTAGAAAGGATATGTTGCAAAGATCAGTGCCCTAACTTGGACGTTGAGCAAGAAGTCTATAGTTTTGTTTTGGGAGAATTACAATGAGGTTCTAAGGAAGGAAAATAATTACAAAACAAGTTCTAGAAGTTGTCATTTCCTGCTCTAAAAGTTGTCATTACAAGCTGTTTAGGTTATTATTGGGATTTTCTAAAAATTATTTTCCTTCATCAGGACCTCATTGTAATTCTCCCTTTTGTTTTAGAAAGGATATGAGTGCAGCACAAAAAATAATCAAACATTCATGTTTTAAGTAGGAGAATGATTGAATGAAAAAAAGGAGAATAATGAAGATTTGGTAGTATGGGATAATAAGCCCCACATTGAGTAGCATGTGATGTTTAATAGGATATTTAAATAGGTTAGTTCTCCCACCTCAACAGTTAACTTCTGGGTAAGGTTTCCTATCTAACTTAGACACCCATCAAATGGTATTAAAGTTAGATTGTTGACAGTTTCGAGGAGGGTTCTAATTAGTAGGAGGCTAAGCAAAGTGTCATGAATGCAGCCACTAGGATGTCGACTTCTCATGAGAGCAGCAAGACTTGGTAGTACAAGGTACTAAGTTCCACATTGAGCAGTATGAGATGCCCAATTGGGTACCTCAGTGGCTTAATTTTCCTACCTAAACAACTAGCTTTTTGGGGTAGGATTTCCTATTCCACTTAGGTGGCCCATTAGACAAGAAACTTGTAATCCAATAAATTCACTTTGAAAAGCATTGAAAAATCGTAATGCGCTTTTATATACCTGAGCAACTTTGAAAAGCTCATCCAGTCCTTCCAAGTTAAGATGAGCATTGTGCAAGAGATCATACCTGTAGGGTATAAATGTAAGTCAATCTTGTGACTGGTAGAAGAAAAATATAGAACTAAAGAATTTCAAAACACCAAACTTGTCTTCTAACACATAAGATTGCAGATTAGTTTAATCAGTATATTTCATGATAGGCAGTAAGAGACATAAATGTAGAATAGTTTAATAATTCTTCAACCTACGCTCATTCCTTCATCCAACTTTACGGTGACCAATGGTTACTTATTTGAATGGTCCCAATGATTTTGATTTTGAAGATTCTTAGAGGTCAATATATGGGTTAAATCCTAAGGTGTCAATTTTCCCTTAGATTATTCCACTTTGTTTTCAAATCTCTGACAAGCTTTGGTTGCACTCAATGCTTGCAGCAAATGTCCCTAATGAGGATAAGATAGCTTTAGCAAAAGTACGCCCTTGTTCCCTGTTGGCTTCGAACCAGAACCAGATAACATGAAAGAAGAAGAGCCGATCTGATTAAGCCACAAGCATGGCCCCTCTATGATAGATAGTCATCTCGGCTAGTGTCTCACACTGAGCAAGAGTCAGAAGAACAAAGAATAAAATACAGATTTCTTCCTTATGCGAATGACTAATTCAGATGTTCCAGTGGATAAATTCTTGAGGTTTGTATATCTGAAGGGTGATGAATAGAGAAGAAGCAGAAGCTAAGTGAATTATCTTTGAAAATTCGATTGTAAATCTGCCTGATCTGTTTGACCATCTATTCTTTCTAAGTACATATCCTTCAATCATTTCATTTGTAAAATCCTCCCAGGAGTGGGAAAGCTAGTCAGAGAATGAGCTGCGGAAAAACCTTAGTAGAAGTTTTAGTTGAGCTTAGAAACCTTAGCATCAAAGCTGCTTTGCGTACCTTGATTTTGAAAAGTGAAAATCCCACCAAGTTCAAGAGAACTGGATGTCAGACAGGAGTTTAAATCACAATGACTAGAATCTCTTCTCTATCCTCTACTTTCACTGTAACCACTTTAAGCTGAAAATCTAATGGCCTGAATGTCAGCCTCGGACCAAAGGGGGAAAAACTCAGATCAAGTCAACTGTGTCTTTAAGCATAGTTCATCTCTGCTTCATATTCTAGCATCTAGTCCACTGAATCTTAGATCCAATCAGCTGAATATTTCTCACGAAACAAAGTTTTCTGATTTAAGATATGTTTCAAGTCCTCATATCCGTTCATACACATTATTATTAGTATCACAATGTTTTAAAAATTAAAATTAAATATAAGTTTGCATTAAAACCTATTTAATAACTTCCTTGAACATTATCACGATACTTTCTGTTCAGATTACACTCAGACAGTGAGAAAATTAGCAGAGAATAATGAATCATAAACTTCTATGAGATACTTACTTGCATGAATCATAAACATCAGGAATTTGAGTAATATCGTAGCGGCTGCAAGAAAACACAACATCAGTGTGTCTGCAAACCCTTTTTCCCCGCATAAAAAAAATAAAATCATCAAAGTGCATCGGCAACCCATATAACAATTGTTTTCCTCTTGCTAAAAAATTACAACAAAGCATAAGGAGTAATAGGAGGGAAAATTAATTTATGAGATGAATTCAATAGTAGATGTATTTAACCCCACACCTCCTCTTGTGGGTTCTATACCCACAAAGAACAAAGTGGGTGTGTGTGAAGTGTGGTCCCCCCCATGCAAGGGGTATTAACGAGTTTTGAACCTACAAATGACTAGATTTTAGAAACTCCATATGCGACCATTTCTGTTCATTTAGGTGATTTAAATATTAAAATACATTAGTAGCATTCCTTATCTTAGTTCTGTAAGTCTCTAGAATCAGAAAGAACATACAGAAGAAGGAGAACAAATTTGAACAAAATATAGCTAATACATACTCCTTCCGTTCATTATACAAGTCCCTTTCAAGCTTTTTCCAGCGGGCATACATCAGAAGGAAACCCTCACTTCCACAAGGTAATCCAGCAGCTATGCGATCAATGTCAATATTTGTCTTGCCAAGTGCCTTTGCTTGGTCGTAAGGAGGAATTACATCATATGAGCTTCTTTCTGTAAGTTTCTCATCTTCATCCATAGCAAGTAGTCTTACTTGTTCAGTGACCTTCTTAGTCAATTTCACCTGAACAAGAGATACATTGGAATTACACAAGAATGATGATAATAATTTCAAATTATGCATATCACTAGCCTATCTCTAGACATATTCACCAGAATAGATTATTATCTACGGAAGGTGGAAACCTATGATCTATAATTTAGAAACAATGTTATATTGAAAGATAGTAGACTTCAAATAATAGCATGTAAGTCTTCCCTCAACTTAAGTTAATTTTCTATAATCATGACTAAATTTACCTCGATAACTTCATGTGCAGCCTAATAGTCACTATACATTTGACTTGAACATGGTCAAATTGAGATCCTTATTTCTCCCTTTGTTTCTCGGACAAAAACTCATACATATCCCCTTGTTGCAGATCACACAGATTCGAGGCACCACTCCCATATCCTCTTGTTAAGGTCAATATATGACTCTCACCCAACGGATTCAATAGCTCCATTATCTGCCTCGCTTTCAATGCAAATTAATTTCCCAAATCCCTATGATATGCGCTTCATATGATCTTGGGAAAATTCCATTTACAGTGATTGAAAAAATAAACTAAAATCAATTTTTGTTCCTTGACGTGGTTATTTTGCACTCCATTCCATGTTCTCAAAACAAGAGGCCCAAACTACTATAATGCGTTGCTATATTTCACAACATTACCAGCTTGACAAGTAACTCTGATGCTTTGGGCGGCAATCCTACTCCATCTTTCATCCAAGGAAATTCAGATGATCCATTGCTATGAGCCATCTTTGGACTAGAGGTAATGATCTCATTCAACCGAGCCTACAAAGAATCCAAAAGAAAAAAAGAAAAGAAAAATAAGTAGCATAGAAAATAGTGTACCTGTGCCCTAAAAAGTAAGAGAAAAAGCTTCTGGGGGGCATATGAGAATAAGGTCATAACTATTAGCAATTCGGACTTGCCATTTTGGACGGTGGATGGCACAGTGATTCTCAAGTTAATATATTATTAACTTGAGGCCAAGAACCAATTTGTTGGCGTAGTTATACAGGTGTTCCCTTTATCCTAAGATTTTTTTGTATAATAAAGGGACTCCAGTTGAAGTTTGTTACTTTAGATACTAAAATTCCTATAACATAGACGAAGGAAAATTATAAACAGATTACTAACCTTGGCTTCTTCCATTTCAATACTGGCATTGTCAAGTCCATCCAACATGGAGGAGTCTTTGCTAACAAGGGAAACCTTCAAGATAGGTAAGCATCTCAGTCGGAAAAAAGATAAAAGTCCAACCCAAAGAACAGGCCAAACACTTCGGGAAAAGAACACAAACCAGGATTGGTGTTAGCTGCCCTTCTAAGTCAAGTAAACCTTTGGCAAATGCTGCAGCAGACATCTGTTGAAAAAGGCTTTTTTTTTTTAAAAAGGACTAATTATACCAAATGGAGGAGAAATTAACTAAGTTCTAGTAGATAGTTGTTTCCCATATTTTTGTCTTTAACAACTTTAGTTAAGATTCTGATTCTCTCAAGTCTTTATTTTCTCACATTTGTCATTTTTAATGCCTTATTTAGCTCCTCACCTCTTCCCATGAATATAACTCGAGACTTTCTAATCTGAATTTCTTCAAAAATAAATAAATAGACCGAAAAAAGCAAGTAAGACAGTAATCCTTTAAATTGGAGATGGGGGGTGCAAACAACAAGGATTATACCTGCACTCGACCCTCATCAGAGCTGTAAATCTTTAGATCATGTCGATATGTACTATGGAGTCGAAGAAGACCTGTACCTTCCCCTGCATTTATCAAAGAACACAAGATGACGTTTTTTTTTTAACAAAATACAATCAGATATTATTGTAGTCAGTTGACTCTGTAATATTTGCAGTTACTAGCTTACCCTAGAAAATACGCATAGAATCAGCAATTTAATCCCTTTAACTTGGCTATCTGTCTCCTACTATTCAGTATGATTCTTGTATAAATACTACTAGCTAAGTCAAAACATTCTTTTTGACATTCGTTGTTGCAGTATTAGAGCTTGGTTCTCAATAATATTGCTTTCTTATCATTAGCCAATATAATTCTTGGCATTTACATCCAGTTCCAGATCTGGGTTGCATTTCTTGCACTGTTCCAGATAAGTCTGTGGCTTTCTTTGCCATTTTGATCCTCATTCCTTCAACTAAACACCCGAACAACCCCAGAAACCACCTCAGACTTGCTTGATAGGTAAACCCAGGTGACAAAGTCTACTCTGGCAATCTCTCTGCGACAAATCGCACATGCCTACTCAAGAGAGTGGGTGAGACCACCACTCTACAATGGTCAAGCCAAAATATGTCGCTGGCCTCTTTCCTATGCCCCTGCCATGTTTGAGCTGTTTGACACCCGCCAAAACCACCAAATCATCTGTGATCGTGTTGCCATGATTGCTAAGTATTTAGGACTTTCTTGAGGGTGTTAGGTCTAGGGATATGCTATGACATAAGCAGTATTATGATAGATTCCATTGGTTGTTCAGTTGAGTTCCAACTTTTAGTTCAGTTATATAGTCCTGCAGATCATCCTTTTATTATGATACTGAAGTAAGAAAATTAGTGTTGTTGTGAATGCTTCTCACTATTGCACATTAGCTCCTCTTCCCATATAGCGTCATTAAATCCTAAAAAGAAAGACATTCAAATAACCTGGATACATATTATTCCGAAAAAATCTTCCCAGTTCTTCAGCCTGCAGAAAGAAAATAGTAATTAGAAAAATGCCATTGAATATTATGAGTTCATGTTCAACCTCAACAATAACGGAATTATAGGAGTAAGTCCAATTATAACTTAGCAAAAACTGTTTAATATTCCTGCAGATCAGAACCTGCTTTCTGCCAGCATGTGTCAGAACACCACCATATTTAAGAACCATCAAAGCTTCAACAGGTCGTTCTTCTTCACCTTCACCACTGCTTTTGGCAACTTTGACCCACTTTAGTGGCTTTAGCTGAACTTTCCTATATATACCAGAGAAATGGCCCCCCTGATATCATTGAGAAAATAAGGGAAAGTGAAAAAAGAAATAAAAAGAGACAATAGTCTGGACAAATCATTTACATTGGATTGGTGAATTTTATCCAACATCCGAAATTCAAGGTCAATCAAAGAGAAGTACATCAATCCATTAAATTTGGAAGGATGACTAAATTTATGACCCAGAGTAAGGCTTATAATAGGAAATAAATAACATAGGGAAAAACATTGTCAAGAGAATTAATAACCTCCTCAAGTACTGCTTTAACTTGACGAAGCTTTTCAGCATGCTCAATATCTTCGGCCTCGCTATCACTTTCTCGATCTAGTCTATACAATGCATATAACTGTGACTAATCCAAAACTCTTGTGAAAATATAGATTGATTAAAAAAGTGACAGCTTCTATTAATCATAAAAAGAAAGAAAAAAAGCACATAACAGCTGGAGTGTCAAACTTCAATATTAGTTATTTGATGAGAGGCAAGATCTCTTAAGCAAAGAAAAAGTAATCACCATAAATGTACCTAGTTCGAGGCACTAGCATTCGAGTGGCATCTAACAGATCTTGCAGCTGGATTGCACTTTTAAGTTTTGTCTGCAAATAATGGACTATTGGATCAAGAATAAAGTATCAATAAATCCAGTGACTTAAGAGTATTATAAACGCACCAGAAGAAAAGAAAGTACTACCTCTGATCTAGGTCGTCCTCCATTGTATTTCAACATTATATTTAGCAGCTTTTCCTCGGTAACTTTCAGCTTCACCTTCTGTTTAGGAGTTCTATCGCCACTGCCAGAACAAGAGTGAATAAAGAACATGGCATTTACCTAATATAACTAATCCAGGGAAAAGGCACATACTGACGAATAACAGCAATTACACAACGCAGTTCTTCAGATTGTCCAAAAGTCCCTATAATACCACTACCCTGACGAGTTAATCCCTCAGAAGGTTGAACTGGTTCATTTAATTTCCATGGTAAAGTTGGTGGAATTGCTGATGAAAGATGAGGTGCTTTTTCATCTAGGAACATCTTCCGCAGCACACATGCAGCATCATCATAATACCTTCAGTAGCAGCAATGAAGACAAAGTGTAAGAGTCATTGAGCAAAAACGGGTGAAAGCAGATATTCATCAGAACATATATATTAAATAAGGGAAATGACTAAAAAAAAAAATACTTGTTGAATTTCAAAATGACAAATAGATGATTTTGACAGATTTTGACATGTCAAAACCATTACAAGAATAGTCAGTATCACCTATTTGTCATTTTGAAATTCAATAGGTTTTTTTTTTTGTCATTTTCCCTATAATGAGTATTTTCAAAAAAGCAGAACATTTTTCATAAATTGGATTTGTTTCATCTAATTTCCCCCCTATCCTACAGTATTGACATTTTAAGAGTTTCAAATTTTTGTCATAAACAGTCTTTAACGTGACTTTTTAAGATTAAATTTATTATCATAGAACAGGTTGAGAAATTAAGATTTTTTTTCTTTGAATGACTATTATCCAGTTATATCGTAATGGGGGCAACTAAACACTATAGATAATATGCAACTTAAGCGTAAAGTAACACATGTACTTTGTCTATACATAAATGTGACTGAAATACAAAAACTATAAGTTAAAGGAACCAATGATTATATTCCCTATAAACTTCTTTATCATTCTTTTCCCATGAACTTACTGAATGTAATTGATGCTTGAAAATTTGAATTGACAAAACATTCAACATCCCTCAATGTTGAAATATATACTGCTTTAATATTTGGCTGTGACACATAGGCTTTCTTTTGATCAAAATATTATTCATCTGAAAGCACCATACACAAATTGCCGTAACATCCAAATTCAGTGACACCAGTCGCAACAGTTTTAGACGAGAGAATGACCATCCACTTATTAGTTATAAAGGCAACTGGTACAAAGTGAACAAGTCACGGACCAGGTTGGATCACATAGCGCAGTTCATAGAGTTTAAGGCCCAAATAACATTTGTTAAAATGGTTAAAGGGTCATCTTTTATGGAACGCTTATAACTACAAATGTATTTTCAACTATCCTTCCAAATCCAATATCAAAAGTTTGAAACAATGTGATCACAGAAATTTACTTGTGTGAGTTCTTAACGAAACTCCATCCATTCACATCACATACATATGATCGTCCCTCACATCTCAAGAGATCAAACCCACAAACCTGCAAGCAGTCAGAAAAACTTAAGGTGGGACATGAAGTATATCACACACTAAACCATCATGATGATAATTCTGCAGCAAGACAGATTTAATTAAACTGAACATGAAATACGCAGTGAATTATACTTCAGAAGAATAGGTTAAGGAGATACAATATATCCAATTGAATCTACTGCAACAATCACAAGTTCGTTTTAAATATATAAAATATTCCATGATAGGACTTGTTAACAAAGATAGGTCAAAGCATTTTGAGCATAACCTAAGCTGCTGATGAAATTTCAGTTAGAAGGCAAAAGTGCAAGACCATGATAAAAGAGCATGCCACAGCTAAGCTAAAACCTCCTTTCAGGTGAAAAGAAAAATTTAGATGACCATTGGGAAGATTCAATAGAAGCTCAACTAACTATAGGATAACTGGTCAATCTAAGTCTAGAGAGAATAAATCTAACAAGATAGGAAGACGCCAGTTTAAACAAATGTTTCAGTAGTAATGACATATAAAAAGAAAAAGGAATCTTTGTACGGCAAGCAGTCACCACATCCACATAACATACCGCTTGTCGGAATGCAACGCAAACCTCTCTTGCCATTTGCTTTTCAGCAGGTGTCAGTAACACAGGATACCTAACCTGCCAAAAGTTTATGGACATGGGTCAACAATCCATGCGTGCTTTGGAATGGTATAAGCTTTTTTAATTGTCAGCCAACCCAAAATATATTGAAATATGTTCTTCTATTAAATGCAGGGAATATTATTTAAAAAAAAAAATTAACAAGGCATTGGGATGGAATTCAGATCGAACAGTGTTTAAAATAAATTAGTAATATTGAACAGTCAGGGGAAAGATGAAAAGACAATATAAGAGAAAGGTTCGGTCAAGAAGAGTTCTGCACAAAATCTGAAATAATGTAATTAATGTATGTAAACCAAGCAGTTCAGTAACAGTAAAATCATTACACACACACACATATCCTTTTTCAACAAAAAGCTTTAGAGTTGAAAACATTAACCGTGAGAATGATAAGGTGGCCCCTTACCCCGCTGGGGTTTTTTTTTTGGGGGGGGGGGGGGGAATCTGGGCCTAGATGAAGCATTGACTGCTAATCCACATAATTACTAGCCAATAATACCAAAAGGAGCAAAGAGCAAGTAAAACTTTTTAACAAAAATGCAGGTCACAAATAAATATAAGGGAGAAGGGACTAGAATATCTGGCATGATACTTACTTCCTTCCCATCAGGATTTCTCATGACAACTCCATCAACAACAGGAGACTTCCTTGCCTCAGCATGAGCATATTCTGGGCCTACTGTATACACCTGTAATTGTTTAAAAATTATAACAAGACTAAATAAATGTTAAAAAATATCCAAATGACATGAATAACATGAACTCCTCTAGGGAGAAAAGGCAACATAAACTTCAAGGTCCCAGACCTTAACATCTGTCCCTCCAGTTGGCATAAATTCCTCATATATGTAGGAGCCTTCACGCCTCACTCTTCTCACCTCTGGATGGAATTCACTGGATCGGTTGCCAACCTAAGGTTGTATAGAAGTGGGAGGGGGAAAAAAAAAAGCTGCTCATAAGACTTGATGAAAAAGCATGTCAATGAGTCAACTCCTCCAAAAACATAAGATTCTAGGAGAAAGCAGAGGAAAGGTTTGATTCATATCTCTCAAAAAACATTTATACTTGCTGACTATCCAACTACAAGTCTACAACATATTATATATTGATTCAAGACCAAAAAGAGCCTCCAACCAAGTTTAACTTGCGTGCTTAATCATAAAGTACCAGACTTACAAGCATTTGAACGAATAAAAACCAATGTTTTTATAATTTATACCACAGAATCCAAATAACACATCCCAAACAACAGTTTTAATGACCCCTATGGAATTTAAATGCTCTCCACGTCCATTCACGCTACAATAATAGTAAGCCTTCTAGATTAAGGAGCCCAATATATCATCCTCAAGCTTACCTTCCTAAATAATTCCTTCATACCTCCACCTGCTGAACTGGGATAGTATATCATGATACTATGGTTATCACCTTAAAAAAGCAGAAAGATTAGAGTTAATACCCTTTTTCAGAAAATGTATTTCAAAATGCAGAAGCATCTCAACAAAAGTCATGATACGTAGTAGTTGTTTTGTGAAGCAGACTTTTCAATGAAACAAATGCATTTGCCTTCAAAAGTTCAAGAACATGTTAAAGATGCTCTTGGAACCCTGACAGACATCATTTATTGACCTAAATCTGAACAACTAGCAACAAAAAAGA